GTAAAAACAATCTAGCAGTATGTATTTTAATAGTTCAATATTTCAGTTATTCAAATAATATAAAAGGAAGTTTCTTGCTCTATCTCAATTTGCAGAGGTACTTAATGTTAACAACTAATTACTTACATATATTTTCCAGAAGTGTTCTATACTCTCAGGTTTTATGTAGATTCAATCATGCTACAGTGTTGTTGAGAAACTTGCATTTATCTCTCAATGATATGCCCAGGAAATCTTTCTGTAGCAGTGCAGAGACACTTGCCTCCTCCCTCTTAGGAACGCATCATACTTCTTTGCACATAGGAATTAACTTCATGGAAGCAGTTTCCTGGTGCTCAGCACTCTGATTATTACTAGTTTTTGCTGTTAGGAACAAGGCCACGGTCAACGACCCTGGACACGCAACTTTGATCAGTGCTACACATTCCCAGAAGGGCAACTTCTGAGTCCATTTCCCTCGTTCCAGTTTTAATGGACAGTTCCAATTCACTTCCAAAGAGCTTGTAGCCTGTTGTAGTTAGGGGATACAAGGGAATAGATTTAACACAGGACACCTAAATTATAGGATTATTTTATAATATTCTCCCAAAGAGTCAGATACAGAAGAGCATAAGAGATCTGTCCACACACTAAGAACCGAAGAATCCAGCTGAGATCTCACAGCAATGTCCTGCATGAGTCCAGCTGAAGACCTACAGCCCATGGCAATGTCCTTCATGGGTCAACTGGAGGCCTAGAGCCCATGACAATGTCTTAAGCAAGTCGGTATCATGGATCTGCACTGGGAAGGCTTACAGGTCAGTGGTTGAAGTTAGAAAGTCTGTGCCAGCGGAATGAAGGATCTGTGCCAGCAGGCTGAGGGATCTGCACTGGAGCCAGGAAGCAACACTTAGGATAAAGACAGAGCTGCCATGAAAAGAACCGCAGCCATCCTCAGCAACAGTGAGTTCCCAAGCTCCTCCCATGACAACAGCCGAGTTCATATCAGGAAAGCCAGCACAGCAAGCTTCCCCAGGAGAACCTACAGCACATCACTTTCCCTGCCAGTTCTCTTGTGTATGCTGTTGCCAATGATCCTCAGGTAAGCCTTCCACACCCAGGGCCATGCTGATTCAGTTCAGCTAGGTGTTACAAGCTGACCATTAGTTAATCTACCACATAACTAATGACTCTATCATCAATGTGGGAGAATGTCTAATTTTACTAGCTCTGGGTATCCTTAAACCTTACTAAATTGTTAAAAAAAAAAAAAAACTAGTGTAGATAATGGAATAGAGGGCATCCTAAATGATCTCATCAGCAGACAGAAATGCTCACAGTCACTTTGGGAGGACCTTTCTCCCCTTTAAAGAAAGGCCAGGGGGTTACAGTGATGTAGATTGGGGTCTGAACCTCTGTGCTGCTGCTTAGTGTCCCAGAGATGTCGGCAGGTTCTTCATTGTCCTTGGCCTGCAAAGTGGTGCTATAGATGAAAATTAGGCATGAGAAAACTTTTAGGTCCAGAACACAGAACTCGGTAAATGTTGACTGATGGGAAACAAGTCAGAGTGTCAGAGTCCCGGAACATTTAAGAATGATCCCAGAATGACAGAGTCATGGATTCTGTTTCCTGCTCCTCGCTACCACTTCCTGCCAAGCTGTTTCATTTCTTGAAACTTTCTCATTGCTCTGGTAATTTGATATCTCCTGCTACATTACTGGACATGAGTGGCAGAGCTGAATCACAATGCAAGTGACATTTTGTATTGGAAGACAGGTGAGGTCTCAGTTCCACTTCTGTTACTGGATCAGTGTAGAGGTATGAGAAGGGGTGAGCTCTGGGGACGGACTGAACTACCTGTGGTCCTTCTGTCCCTTAAAAGCAGGGTGATTTCGAGCAAGTTCTTACAGCTGAGATTTAGCTGCCTCAGTTATAAAAGAGATAACTGCAGTTATGGGGTGACTGAGTATGACGACAGAGTATGAAAGCACCTCACAGCTGACTCTTGTTAAATGCAGAATGCACTAATAAACAATAATAGCCACTCCGCCTGACTGCAGTTTATTTGTAGGTCAAGGAGGATCAGGATGCTTCTGTAGAGTGGAACAAAGAGATGTGTCCAGCTCTCTCACCTTGCAGTCACACTCCCCATTAGTGAAGTGGGTGACTCAGCCTTTTTCTCGCCCTGATCACTGTGAGGAACAAACACAGGGGCCGTGGGGCTGATGTGGCTCAGCAGCACAGCGCCCGCCTGGCAAGTGAGAGGTCCTGAGTTCAGTCCCTCCCCCCCCCCACAAAAGGGCAATAACCTCAGCTAGGATTCTTATGCTTTTCCACTACTCCTGGAAAAAAGTGGGGGGAGGTAAATTAAAAACTTTCCCCACTGGAACTGGTTAATGTACTTGATGTTTGACTTGTCACATGGAAATTTGTTCAGTTATCATCTTGGAGAACATTTTGGGGGCATCTGAGACAGGGAATGTACTAATTTCAGATTTTTACTGCAGTGCTGTGACTTGAATCTGGTCCTATTTAAATGTCAGTAATTACAGAACACTTCAGTTGCACAGATGAAGCCATAATCACAGGAATAGCATTTCTAAAACATCTTGTGAATTGTCACTTTTTTTCTTATATTGAAAATTTCAAACTTACTGAAATGATGGGGAAAAGCCCAGTGAATCCAGTTTATTATTTGCTCACATAGGTGAGTACATTACTTTTGAGACTGGAATATAAAAAATCCTCCGTGGACTACTGGCCACATTGAACATCTCCTACAAGACACATCACCTCTAATCTGTAGGAGCCAGCATCCCATCACTGCCAGTCTGCATAGCACTTGGTAACTGCCATCAAAGACACTGTCACTGCCCCAGGAAGTTGTAGTATGGACCCCCAAACATGTTTGCCTCTGTGATTTCAAAACCCTTTCCCTAGAGGTCTTTGGAAGATTCTCAGAAGGAAAGTTCAGGACAGATATTTGAAAATATTTAATTTTGACTTCTGGGAGAGTTGCAGTGTTAATTTTAGTTAATTTCCATCCACCAAAGAAATCTGCGGATGAGGACTGGGGTAGAAGATGAGGTTTTATGACCATCACAATAAAAATGTAGTCATAGAAATAAAGACAACGGGTGAACCAACCCCTGGGAGAATCTGACCCACCTCGTGGTAGCCACATAGCCTGGAATAAATCACACCAAGGCCTCCTCACTCGTGCATTAGGGCAGACAGCGATCTCTGTTTACCTGAGTATTTTTGGACGAGACTCAATTCTGGGTACTGTGATGATCTGAGCTTTATGAATACAGGGATTTATAGTAAAATTTTATTTGTCAGAGGAGGAAGCACAAAAAGGCAAGAGGAAGAACAAAAAGAAAGAGAGAAACAGCATGGCACAGGCACCCCCGGGAAGGGGGCTGGGATCAAGGGAGACGCCTGCAGTTTCCGGAGATTGTCAGGAAAATGTCTGGAAAGAGGAGCGAGCGTCTTTCAGGGAATTCCGCCAGCTGCCTGGTCTTACAGAACCCCTCTTCAGAATCTTCCTCCGTGGGGCCTGGAGACCGGCAGCAAACTCCCCTCTAGGCCGTTAGGCAGCCTGGCGTGGGCTCAGGCTTCCCAGGGCGCCTAAGGCACCGCTTCCCTGCGCTTCTCCCGAACCCAGCCTCCAGTCCCCAAGATTTAGACCTCCCACGAATCCCACAGCCTTTAAGGGCTCCTGGGCAGCCAGTTCGCCTGGGCTTTACTCAGTTTCTCGACGGTTCTGCTGAGCCAGGTTCTTCCTCAAACCCGAACCCGCGCAAAGGCATTGAGCTGGACCTGCAGCGTGGCTCCTGGACCTTCACCTGCTCGCGATCGCTGCCACCACCGTCGTGTACACGGGCACGCAGGTGGATTGGCGCGCGTTAACAGTGTAGTTAACAACCTCATGCGCAGTGATCGTGGATGCACGAGGTTAGCGAATTCTTTCCCACCGTTAATTTTTCCATGGATATTTTGCCAGTAAATACCAAGAACAGAATGTGTGCTTGATTTTTGTCTTTGCCGTCGCGAAGTCATTTCAGTGAAAATTAAAAAGCCAGAAACCTACGGCGGTCCCACCTGCTCCTTCTGGGGACCCTCTGAAAAAAGCGGCTGGGGCTGGCAATTTGAGAAAACTCGGATCTGCTGATCTAAGAACCGAGGACACAAGTCCCAGGAACCCTGAGGAAGGCCCCCAAATAAAAATGGTCCTGGCTGGGCTCCTGCGCCAGGATAGTGCCAAGTCCAGCGCTTAGCCCGGCGGTGGGCTCGGCGCCCTTGGCGCGCTCATTCCGTCGGGCTGGGCAGGAGAGGAGCAGGGCAACGCAGTCCCCGGGGACGGCGGGAGCTGCCCGCATCCCGGCAGAAGCGCGAGCGCCGTGGCGGGCCGCTGGCTGGCGCGCGTGTCGCCTGCTCACGCGGTGTGCCACACCGCCGAGCGCCAGGCTCCGGACCTGGAAGGGGAGGGCGCGGGCGGCGCACGCCGCGTTTCCTCTGGCTCGCGGAGCCTGGAGCCGCCGGCAGGAGCTCCCCAGACCACCCCGGCGCAGAGCAGCCCCAGAACGCGAAGCGCGTCCTCTGTCCCCCGCCCCCGCCCGGCCGGGCCCGCGGAGCAGGAGGCGGAGGAGGCGGCGCCGCCGGCCCAGTCTCCTCCCCGCCCCTCGCGTCTCCTCCCCGCGCCACCGAGAAGGACGAGGGGACTAGGCACGGGGACCCCGGCCAGTGAGCGCCGGTGCCCCGGACCGCCCTGCCCGCGCGCGCCCTCGCCGTCAGCCCGGGACGGTCTCGCCCCGCATGGTGCTGGCTGCAGCCATGAGCCAGGACGCGGACCCCAGCGGTCCCGAGCAGCCCGACAGAGATGCCTGCGTCGCGCCCGGCGCCCAGGCGCCCCCCGGCCCGCGAGGGATGCAGCCGCCACCCCCGCCGCCCCCGCCGCCCCAGTCCCAAGGCGGCCTACCCCAGATCATCCAAAAGTAAGAGGAGGGCGCAGGACGCGGGGCGGGGGTGCGCTCGGGACACGCCCCGGGCGCCCCCTTTGTGGCTTCATCTGGTGTTCAGCTAAGCTTGGTTCGGCCCCCTTGTGTTTGAAGTTTTCTTGCCCTCTCCCTGGGCAGTCGGTGCCGTTTTGGCTGTTGGTGAGGCTGGGGTGAAGAGCCAAGTTATTTGGGCGAAATAATTTGTCTTTCCTTATCCTCTTCCTTTTCTCGTTAGGGGTGTTAGTTGGATATTTTGAACTGCAGGAGCTCAGATGTGGGGTAAAATGGCCCAGAGAGCCTTTTTCATCTTTCTGGTGCCCAGAACGTATGGAGAGCCAAGCGTGAGTACGCACGAGCCTGAGGGTGTTTAAGTGAAAGGAGACCATGAGGCTCATCACCCTGAATCGTGCGCTGGAGTCGACTGGCAACTTTGGGGTAAAAAAGGAAGCCAGGGCTTGGACACAACGTGTTTGGCTTTGCCCTTCCGTGTAGACAGTTTTCAAGGCGGCCCTTGCCTTAGAGGTCTGAGCGGCGCAAGCCCTTTTCACTAATGTTACCATTACGTGACTCTGCTGAGCTCTGCTGAGCGTGCGCCTAGGGTGGTGAGTTCTCGGCCGTCTTACTTACTCAGAGTGTAAGGAGGGTGGGCGGCCAGTGGGCCCCAGAGGCGCTTTCCACCCGCGTAGAGGAAAGAAAAGCAACACGGTGATGTTTTGTTTTCTTCGTTCCTTTAATTTAGTTTTTTGACAGTTTGAGGCCTAACTTGTTGGTTTATTGGGAGGCCGTTTATTCTTCCAGTGGTTTGATCAGCTTGTGACGAAGTCCGCATTATTAGTGTAAGAAATGTAGAGGGGAACGTATATGATGAACTTTTCAGTGAAACTAAACGAAACTGGAGAGTATTCACATAAGGACAGCGAGATGTAGCTGTGGGTTATGTAAACTTAAAGTGTCGTAAGAGAAATCATCAGCGAGGGGCTGTACAAGGAAGTCAATAGCGATTGAGATCGTTATATAAACTTAGGTAATAAAAAGAGGGAAAATTCAAATTTGACACCGATAACCCTGGTTTCATGTTTCAGAACAAAATGGTTCCCTATTTAGTGACTGGTGAAATATTAAAGGTTCCTTTATTTTTAAAATTTTCATATTGTATAAAACCTGCAACTATTTTCTGTTTGAAAATGCAGTATCTCATATTGTTTTTTTCTGTTTTGCAAGTTATTTCTGATTATGCTAAATAGGAATGACAGTTTATGTAACTCATCGTTTAAATTTCCTCTTTAATGTTTAACACAAATAGTAATGAACAACAAAAAAAAAACCACCAATTTAAAATCTAGAGATTACTTACTAGAAAATCCAATTAGACCAGTTGTTAATTCGGAGACATTTGATGTATTTCTCGCTGAGTCTACATTTTATGCCTTGAAATTAATCTACATATTAAGCTTAGCAACATTACTTTAGTATCAGAATTACATTTTTCTATCATTTATTTTTAAGTGAAGAAAAGTAGAAACTTTATGTTCACAGAAAAATCTTTGTAGACGAGAGTCTGATTATGAAGAGTTGCCAGGTAGAAATAAATGCCATTTTGTGGAAATGGGTTATTTAAGATATATTTTAATTACTTCGTACACTTAATAAATTATGCTGTGAATTTACTCCCTACCCCCATTTGGAAACTTCCATATCTAGGATATCTTATTCTAAAAAGATTGGACCAAACTTTTCAAAGATGGCCCCTTCTGCTTGCAGATGCGCCTAGTGGCTCTGTCTTGTTTCGCATTGGTGACAGATCCAGTGTTCAAGGACCTGGTCCAAGGCTGTAAATGTGCCCGTGGGATTTGATGTTCAGGCGCTTAAGTTTCAGTCTTTATAAGTATGATTCGGGTTTGCACTCTGCTCCGCCCCCACTGATATCCCGCTGGAATCAGGCAACATGGCAAGCTCTGTGCAGGTCCATCTTTAATGCGCTGTAACTCGAGCAGGCTATTTTGAAACTACGTTTGCATAATTTAATCTGAGCGACCATTTTTACGTAGTTAGGAGGTGCTGTTTGCATCAGCCATCTTCAAGGAAAAGTAGCGGGAAGCCTGCCCTCGGCGGCAGTATGAACGTCCACCTTGGCATTTGGAGACTTTCGTGAACTCAAGTTTTGCGTGAAATTTTCTTCCTGTGAAATGCATATTAGACATTATTAGAAGACCCCTAATTTTTCTAGTGAGGTTATTATGTAACCTCACTAGTAACACGGCAACCCCTAATTTCAGTGAGGTTATTATATAATTGGTAAGAGAAAAAGTTCTGAACTCTTGCAAAATTATGGACATAGCAATCTTCATGTTGCATAGTGCTTAAAGATTATAAGACTGCACTTCTTAAGGGCTGTCCTTACTGAATTTATGGCTTTAGGTGAAATCAGTTACTTTTGCAAAAACCACTCTCGATTGCAATAAAAACAGGTTTCTGTTCATGTGCATCCAATTTGGTCTTAAGCGAACAGCAGTGTAGCTACAGTGTAGCTAACGTGAGTGTGGGGGTGAGCAGGGAGACTGATTTGTGTGTTGGAAGTCAATCTCAATACTTAAAAAGGCGGCATCTAAAGTTAGTTTCTGTGGAGTACTTTTGTTCTAATCAGGAATAGTTTTCTTATCATTATATTCTTAGCTTCAGTTAAGAACTATCCATGCTACTTCTGCCCTTGTGTACCCTTGACCCCTGTAATATAAGTATTGTCTATAGACTATCAACCAGGTTGTAGACACATATAAAGACTATCTTGTGATTGTTTTTGTTTAAATGTGCCAATGTGTGTATGAATTTTCCCATACTAGCAGAAGAGCAAAAACATTGCTGTTTGTTAATGAATGCTTTATGAGTGTTTATCTCCTCAAACATTCATATTTTACTTTCAAAATTTTAATTATGTGCTTTAAAAACCACACCTAACCTTGATTTATAAGATTTTTTAAATTAATCTTAATGAACATCAGACAATCGAATTTTAGGTTACAAGTTTTAAAACTCTCACTAGAGTGAAAGCAGCCACTTGATTCTGAGTGAAATGTTGAACTCAGCCCATCAGATGGGACTACAGAGTGTACCACTAATCATAGTGAAAATTAATCCAATACACACACCTTTTACAAAGCAAATTACATGGTGATTTTCCAAAATTATTCAATTTGTAGTAAGATATTCCTGACTCATACATGCCATCAGGTTTCATATTTGAGACACAGGACTTATTTTTCCTTTCCAGATGATTTTATGACCAAACAAAACCAATTATAAAAATAGAAGAAATTTTGGTTTAGCATTTGCTAGCTAATGTCACCTGCATGGAATTGTTGGTGGCTTCTGAGGACATATATCCAGTTTTGATTTCTAGTTTATAGTCTTCTACGTGACATTAGAACTACGGCTCTCTCTGAGGAGTAAGAACTCCCCTGACTCAGAATAGAAAATGTCAGGAATAGTTAACAGAGCAGATAATTTTACAGACATTCTGCTGGCGGGATCTCCGTGTTATAACCATCAGGATCTGATCTACAGGCTAATTGTATGTGATGTCCACCCACTTTGATGTGCCTGCTGACAATTGGATCCAGGATCAGGGGAGGAAATAGGAATTTTCTAAAAGGGGACATGGCCTCACACATATATTTGGTCCTTTTCTGGAAAGAGGGTGGACTTTCTAATGTCAGAGCCAGTTCTAATATCAGTTCTAGCCTGGTTTTTAGGAGAATTTTTGGAATGCACTTATAGATGAAATTTTGAAAATTTCAAGCAGCACCTTACACTGCACGCAAAATAAACATTCAGCAGGGAAAACCTCAGAGAGGGCTAAGCATTTGCTCAAACAGAAGGAGAGGGGTGGCCTCTTACTAGTCTGAAAAGTTTCTTTGCTTCTCTAGAAAGTCTTTCAAAGGTGCTTTTGAAAAGAAAATTTTGGTGGGGAGTTTTGTCATAATAAGTGCTTTAGGTAGTGCATATAACCATGTAGTCACGAGTTTTCTCAAATGGCCCAAGAGATCAGTGTTATGAAATGTAGTACATTATTCCCATTAGTCACAGCAAGCGACTGCATATGGTGCACAGAAAGGCTGCGCCATCAAGGAGAAAGAAGACAAATTTGATCATTGCTTTTATTTTTTTGTCTGCTTGTTTTACAGCTCCTTAGCATTTTATCATTTAAGCTGATCATTTAAAAAGCCTAACTCTACCGTGTGGAAGGTGACCGCTTATCTGCCAGATCTCTTTGCCTGTCCTCATAGTCATTAGGGAGGAAAAACCCCAACTGGATTGACTCACAGTGAAATGACCCTGCATTATCCAGTTTCTCTCTCCCCCTGCTTTATTCTTCTTGTGGCATAGGTTCTGAGTCCAGTTTAAACTAACGTTGCTCCACTGCCCACACAGCCAATCCTTAGGTAAACAGACTGGTATAGCTTGATCTATAGCTTCGATAAACAAAAATACGCAAAGTGTTGGGAACTGAGTTCTAACCAAGGCTTACGAATTAAAATAGGCTGAACTAAACATGGAAATTAAGAACAGTTGAAGCATGAGAGAAGAATTGAAACTCCCAAAAGGAATTTTGAAGCGGGACCCCCCTCCCTCTTCTTTCAGCCCTGTTTCCCTTGCCTGCTGAAAGCTTGAAGGAGTTTCCTCTGTCACAAAATGCCACTTCATTGGATTTGTGTTTCCTGCCCCGGTAATGAGCTGATTGCTATTATTTTGTATATTTTAACAGGGAAAGTTGTTGTGCATCCACAGTGGCGTAACAGACCAGCAGCTGGGTTTAGAATAGACTGTTGAAAAGTTTTGCAGAAAGTAAAATGATCCATAGCTCAGAATTAGAGCAAAGACAGTAATTAGCAGTTTGCAGAACAGAACATGTGGCAGTTCCGTTTCTGGTTGGCAAACCTGGCTGGATCTTGGTGATATGTATGTTAGCTGGCATGCCTCACACTGCTTGTTCCCACCTGTGAGTAGACCAAGAATCAGGAATTGGGTTTCCAACACCATGGTGGGCTGATAGTGTTACTGGCTTAATGGGTGGTCACTGTTTAAATTTCATCCAACCGAGGAGTTATACAAAGTTTAATCTTTGACATAATAAGTTTGGGGGCAAGTCATCACCAGCTGTTTGTGGAGGCGTTGGAAGGGAAGGACCCCATCCCCCCAGTAGTTTGTTCTTGTGTTTCAATTATGTTGCAAATAACTATCTAACAGGATGAAGTCTTCACAGCAGCAGAAGTTACAGTCAAGTTAATTGATCTCTTTCCTATAATGCCTGCTGAATTTTCTAAGATAAGTAAGTCCCCTAGTGGTTTGCAAGGCAACTTTTCCAACTTGCTGACAGCAGACCTGTAGGGGAGATGGCCCATACTGATGCTATGGACACGAAGAGGCAAGTTGCACAAAGATGTGTTAATAACTTGTAGCTCATTTTGCAAAATAAATCTTTCCATGTGTTCAGAAACAAAAGACTGGGGTCATGCATGTGTTTAGGGGCTGGCTATCACCCTGTCAAGATGGTTTTCACGCTACTTTTCCTGTCTTTAATGTATCTGCTTTAAAGATTCACCGA